CACCTACGTCGACGAGGTTCCCCCACCTGGGGCGAACATAGTCGATGGCATGTGGATTTTAAGGGTGAAGCGGCCGCCGGGTTCTCCGCCTGCCTTCAAGGCGCGTTATGTTGCTCGAGGCTTCAATCAGCGATAGGGAGTTGACTACTTCCAGACCTTCTCCCCCACCCCGAAGATGACTACTCTTCGGGTGTTGCTGCACGTCGCTACTCAGCGTGACTACGAGTTGCACTCTCGGGACTTCAGCACAGCTTTCCTGCATGGCAGCCTGCACGAGGAGATCTGGCTACGCCGACCATCTGGTTTCACTGGCACTTTTCCTGCAGGTACCCAGTGGAGCCTCCGCCGGCCAGTCTACGGTCTCCGACAGGCGCCTCGCGAGTGGCACGACACACTCAGGACTACACTTGCGGCTCTTGGGTTTGCTCCTTCTACTGCGGACCCGTCGCTGTTTCTACGCACCGACACGTTGCTGCCGCCGTTCTACGTCCTCGTGTACGTCGACGACCTCGTCTTTGCCACTGCTGACAATGAGGCACTGACCCTTGTAAAGTCGGAGCTGCAGAAGAGACACACCTGCACTGACCTGGGTGAACTGCGCAGCTATCTTGGCTTGCAGATCACCAGGGACAGAGCACGGCGCACCATCACACTAACTCAGTCACACATGGTGCACCAGGTCCTTCAGCGCTTCGGCTTCCAGTTCTCCTCGCCACAGCCCACTCCTCTATCTACCAGCCTCTCGCTCTCAGCTCCACCTTCGGACGAGTCCGTAGAGCCGAGTGGTCCGTACCCAGAGCACGACCTGACCTCGCGTACCCTCTCAGCCTTCTGGCTCGCTACGTGGCTCCCGGTAGGCACCGAAAGGTGCACTGGGATGCTGCGAAGAGGGTACTGCGTTACCTGTGCAGTACGTCGGGCATGGGGCTTGTGCGTGGAGGACGGGGTGACGTTGTTCTCACTGGTCACGCAGACGCTTCCTGGGTTGACGACTCAGCTACGCAGCGGTCGTCACAGGGTTACACCTTCAGCCTCGGTTCCGGCTCTGTTTCTTGGCGGTCGACCCGCTCGTCTTCGGTTCTCAGCTCCAGTTGTGAGGCTGAGATCTACGCCAAGGCCATGGCTACTCAGGAGCTACGCTGGCTTACCTACCTGCTGACCGACTTGGGAGAGCAGCCTCGTTCGCCTCCAGTTCTGTACGTAGACAACAAGGCCATGATTGCCTTGTGTCAGGAGCACAGACTGGAGCATAGAACGAAGCACATCGCTCTGCGTTACTTCCTTGCTCGAGAGTTGCAGCAGCGTGGCCAGCTTCGTCTTGCGTACATGGCCACTCGGGCCAACATTGCTGATGTCTTCACCAAGGCACTTCCGCCTGGTGATCATCAGCGCTTTGTTACTGTGTTAGGCCTTGTGCCTACTTTGCCTCACTTGCTTACTGCTTGACTCTGCTTGTACTGTGATCTATATATATACCTGCATGCTTGCACTTGCTAGGGTATGATCACTGTATTGTTTGTTCTCTTTATATAACTCTGCATGTGAGCTGGCCTTGTGGCCCTTTGCTTGTGCTCGGACTGTGTGGTGACTTTGTGATCCACCCTGAGCTTGCTTTGTTTTTTCTTGACTGGTCTTGTGACCACTTGTTCTCCCCCACTTTGCCTATGGAGGTGTGTCAGAACATTATAGCTTATACATTTGTGTAGGCTATAGTGGGGTAGCCCATAAGGGGTACAACCTAATTAGGGTTAGTACTTGTACCCAACTGTTTGCTAGTTCATCCATTCTCGTTCGTTACTTTGAGATGTCCCACATCCGAGATGGCAGCTGATTACTTAACCAAGAAACTCGGAAAACAGAAGTTCGAGTACTGCATGCTACTGTCTGGACAAGGACACGTCATCAGCAGCGACACTCCAGAAGCGAAGGGGAGTGTTGGAAACAAATAACTTAAACGCTTCTGAAGTATCGAAGTATCGACACGAAACGGAGCAGACTACAGCGAAGCAACACGCGAGTCAACAAATGCAACAGCTAGAGGTTACGCGAAGGTCAAAGGCCGCTGACCTTTGACTCGACGAAAAATACAGCGCGACAGCAAGGACACATAACTGACTCGATACTGAGCAGTTACCCGAGTCGTCACTGCATCGAACCGCAACAGCAAAACAGTTGAAGTAAAACCCTTCATATTCATTTTTTATCATATAAAAGCTTTTGTATCTTTCTGCTATTACCAACTTATCTTGTTCTCACATACCAGTACAAGGTGGTTCAGTAAAACTTGTTATTACGCTTCCGCAAACTACAACATTCCTACTCCAGGAGATCTTATGAAAAGATCCTAAGGGCAAATTCTCAACCCAACAATTGTCAGTGTTCCTAAAAAAAGAGCCTGAAATTTCCGGGTTCCTAAAAAAAAGCCTGACTTCTTATTTCTCACATCTCTAGTGACTAAGTTAATGCATACCCAGCTAGCCATAGAACTAGGAATCGAACCTGGATCTTCCCTTTCGGTAGTAATTACAGTAAAGACTGGAACAGTTTATGCTGTCGAAGGCAAATGTTTTTATTCTTTGTGCGCTTGTGATGCGAAAATGTTGGAGTCCCGATGATCTCGGGTGTTTTACAGGAAGGACGCGGAATCTGCATTCAGTGTACACGTTAGATAAAATGCTGAAAAATCAGCCTCCTTCCATAAGAAAAGGCTGAAATTCCAGGGTTACAAAATAAAAAAGGCCGAAAGTGCAGGGTTGGTACAGAAAAAAAGGCTGAAAATAAGTCAAATCAGGGTAAAAATCCTGATATCTGAGGGCCAGCAGTGCTGTCTGATGCCGTGTATGGTTTCAAAGGCTGGACGGGTAATTGAAGAAGGATCATTCATTGGCTAGTTTAGCAAAGGAGAAATTCTTGATCTTTTGCTGTTACAACTGTTCATTGTAAGTGTCAGCCACTGTGCAAATACGGGGTTTGTTGTGTCGGTGCGCGTTTGCTTTGTGAGCAACCACAAGGCCAAGGCTGAAAAGGCTGGAGAAACATCATCACACCAGCAGCTCGTTGCTGTCAGCCATATCCATTGAACCTCGACCTTGTCTCCGATCCGACAGGCACGAGCAGCAAGAGGCATTAGTGACTCGGTAGAGGCAGAGCCGACACCGCCTGACGCTTAGAGTGCATCGGTAGTACATTAGTTATTGCTCACATATTACCGCCACGCTTGGTGTATGATTAGTGTACGATACTTGTGCATAGTTTCTGCCTTGGATTTCCTATTTAGCCTTTAGATTCAAGAAGCTTGATACAAGACGGATTTGATACAATCACGGGCTCGGTAAACCAGCTTAGAGCAAAAAGTACTTATGGCGAGATTCGGTCTTCCTCGTCCATCATGAGTTCCATAATCTAGGCCTGTTTTTTCAGGGTGTTTTCGAGCTGTACACCAGTTTGGCCCGGGTCACCAAAGTTCGCATTCGCGGTAGCTGTATCGGCTGGCGGCTGTAGCGGCGCGGCTGCTTCGACTGGCTGTAGCAACGGTGCCGCCAGTCGACTCGTCAGCTTATACTCGGTCAATCGCGCGGCTGTAGCGCCGGTTGGCTTTGTCGTATCCACGGCTGTAGTTGCGCTGTAGCAAGTTTGAGATTGCTGAAGTGTAGCTGTGGGTTGTGCTACAGCCGTAGGAGCAGGAGGAGTTGAAAAGAGAGTTGCAACAGGAGTTGAAACCGGAGTTGGAAATAGCAGTTTCTAACAATGGAGCAGCTACTAACGAGTGAACAGCGGGAGGTGCTTATAGCGGTGGATGGAAGCGAGTGTACGTCGCAATCATTACGTTCCTGCTTTCTATCACACATGTAACGCCTGTGGGTGTTAAGGGCACTCCGCTGCGCCAAATAACACCCTCGTTTTGACCCAGTGGGTAGCGAGGTGTTACATTTGGAATCAGAGCCTAGGGTTCGAATCCCGGCTGGACCACACTTTCCGCCTTTGGCGAGAACTGAAGTGCGGTTGTAACCAGCTCGAACCCAGCGAACGATCCTCCGCTGGCCTGAGCAACCAGCGCAGTCGCAGCCAGCAGCACTGCGAAATCTAGGTCCCAGCGGCAGGGGGCCGACTTCCTGAAGTCCAGGGCCAACGGGGACGTTGGCACCAGGGGGGGACGAGTGTAACGCCTGTGGGCTGTGTTAAGGGCACTCCGCTGCGCCAAATAACACCCTCGTTTTGACCCAGTGGGTAGCGAGGTGTTACAACACACACACGCACACACACACACACACACGCACGCACACACATACGCACACACATGCAAGCACCCAGACCCACATACAAGCACACGCACATGTTCACTCACGCTCGTCTCCCCCCTGTATTTTCTTCTCCTCCAACCGTCATTTTACGATCCTCCGTCCTCCTTCCTCAGTTTCCACCCTCCCTGACTCCCTCTCTCCCTCCCTCCCTCCCTCCCTCCCTCCCTCCCTCCCTCCCCCCCTCCCTCCCTCCCTCCCTCCCTCCTTCCCTCACTCTCTTCCCTCCAACAACCAAGTCGCGTCATCTGTCTAATTCACATCATCAGCCAAGCGGACTCACATGCTGCGACAGTGCCCTCTGACTATCTAGCATACCCCCCTGCCTCTCCCACATTCGCAGGTTCAGGGCTCGCGTTCGTTTGGGCTTTAAGGTCCTCGTGCACGTGCGTAGCTAACTGTTTTTGAAGCTCCTCAAAAGTCGTTTGGGCTTTAAGGACCTCATGCGTGTGCGTAGCTGACTGTATTCATTCGTGCTCTCCCTGTCCGCACCATATCCCTGACTCCCTTTCTCTCCCACCCTGCAGGTTCAGAGCTGGCGTTTAACTGGGCATTGAGGAATTACTGCACATGCACAGCCTTTTAAGGAGCATTTCAATAGAAGAAATTCACGTCCTTCCCTCCCTGCCTTCCTCTCCCACCCTGCAGGTTCAGAGCTGGCGTTCAACTGGGCGTTGAGGAATTACTGCAAGGCCCAGGATCATGTGCGCCTCATTCACGTGCGCAAATCATTTGACGGTAAGCAACGTTACGAGAGCGGAGGAAACGGTGAGACGAAGGGTGGTAGAATAGAAGAACAGCCGGTCAGGGGCGTCGAGGTTCTTGGTTCTTTACTTTCCTCTTATTCCCCCTTCCCCAACCCTTTCCTCCCCTCTTCCCTCCCCCTCTGCTTCAAGAGCAGAGGAAACGGTGAGACGAAGCGTGGTAGAACAGCCGGTCAGGGGCGTCGAGGTTCTTGGTTCTTTTACTTTCCTCTTAATCCCCCTTCCCCAACCCTTTCCTCCCTTTTCCCTCCCCTCCTTTTCCCCCTCTCCCCCCAGACATGGCGGGCAAGCTCCCAGCGGACACCATAACAACGTTGGAGGCACAGGCGGAGGCAGCTGCACGCACTAAGACACTAAGACAAGCTTCCCTGCTCTCCTCCTCTTCGCACCCCCCCTTTCCCGTTTTCTCCGCCCAGACATGGTGGGCAAGATCCCAGCGGACGCCATAGCAACGTTGGAGGCACAGGCAGAGGCATCTGCACGTTGCTGATCCATCGCCATCCCGTTCCCTCAATCCCCCAACTGACCACTCCTTCTTCCTCCAGACATGGTGGGCAAGCTCCCAGCGGACGCCATAGCAAGGTTGGAGGCACAGGCAGGCATGGTATCTCAGTGTCCAAGGCATAATTTCCCCCCCTTCTCCCCCTTCTCCTCTTCCCTCCTCCCCCAGACATGGCGGGAAAGCTTCCAGAGGACGCCATAGCAACGTTGGAGGCGCAGGCGGAGGCAGCTGCACGCGCCATAGTGGAAAAGTACATGAAGAAATGTGCTGTAGCGGATGTGAGTTTCTTTGAGGTTTCTCAAAGTGACTTAGTTAGAGCTGGTCTGCAAACCCATCAGCACGCGCCATAGTGGAGAAGTACATGAAGAAATGCGCTGTAGCGGATGTGAGTGCGCTTATAACAAATTTGGGGTGCGTTTGTAACAGATTTGGGTGCGCTTATAACGGATGTGAGTGCGCTTATAACGGGTGGTACCTGAAGACATCCGTTGTAGCAGATGTGAGTGTGCTTTTAACGGATGCGAATGCGCTTATAACGGATGAGTATCCTTGCAGCTTGTGAGTCATACTTATAAAGGGCGCTGTGACAGGAAGACAGGAGCAGACGAGCACAATGTGTGAGGCGGTGCCTTAGAACTATTAAAAACAGATAGAGGTGCTTCTAATGCATGTGGTTTTTTAGAATCCTTAAATGGTGTCAGTGACCTTTTGTTTGGTTTTCCCCTCTTTTTTTTTTCCGTTCGGTTTGCTTGCAGCTGGACTGTGATTGGAAGATAGCGGTGGGGGACGAGCGAGAGGTGATCTGTAGAGAAGTGATGCGCGTGTGTGCAGACGTGCTGATTGTCGGAACGAGGGGGCTGTCGCCAGTCAAGAAGTGAGTGCTGGGTTGTGGTGCTGGTGTGGGTGTGTTGATGATTTATAGCAATGGGACGAGAGGGATGTGATCTGCCGGGAGGTGATGCGCGTGTGTGCCGACGTGCTGATTGTGTCAGAATGTATTTGCTGTCTAGCCTGCAGTGGGGTACTCTGTAATGAGTACAACCCAATTTAGGGTGTTGTACTTGTATCCCAACTCTTGCTAGTGAAACCTCATTCCTCTCCTTCCAAAACCTCTCGATACTTTTCCTAAACTCCAACTCAACTACCAAGGCTCCTAAACTATGGCTCCTAAGCCAAAATCACGCTAGTATTTTGTTATGTTATCAGAGCTTAACGTTCCTGGCCTGTGGGCCCACTCGATTCCGCTGCCCTACTGTGTGTCGCGCGCCCCGTGGCGCGCGACATCCCATTTTTCTTCCCGCCACGCGCTCGGAGCGCGTGGCGGTTTTCTGCCCGCCGTGCGCCCCGAGGCGCGCGGCGGGTTCCTACCTCGTCGCGGCGTCTTAGGGGCCCACGCACTGGCCCCGACCGTCGCCTCGTCGAGGCGTTTTGGGGGCCTGCACGCAGGTCCCTCCCGTCGCCTCGTCGCGGCACTTTCGGGGCCCGCGAGCCGGCCCCTCCCGTTGCCTCGTCGCGGCGCCTTAGGGGCCTGCGCGCGGTCCCCTCTCGTTGCCAGTCGAGGCACTTTTGGGGACCTGCGCGGCTCCCTAGCACATCGCCCGTCAGGGCACAATGGGGGCCGCGCCCTTCCCCTCCCCTCCCTCCTACTTTCCGCTGCAGCAGCCGCCCCTGGAGCCGCCGCCCCTGAAGCAGCCGCCCCTGGAGCGGCCTGCCTTGCAACAGCAGCCGCCCCTGGAGCAGCCGCCCTAGCAGCAGCAGCCCCTGGAGCAGCCGCCCCAGCAGCAGCAACCCCTGGAGCCGCCGCCACTGCAGCGGCCGCCCCAGCAGCAGCAGCCCCTGAAGCAGCCGCCCCAGCAGTAGCAGCCCCTGGAGCAGCCGCCCCAGCAGCAGCAGCCTCTGGAGCAGCCGCCCCAGCAGCAGCAGCCCCTGGAGCAGCCGCCCCAGCAGCAGCAGCCCCTGGAGCAGCCGCCCCAGCAGCAGCCGCCCCAGCAGCAGCAGCCCCAGCAGCAGCAGCCCCTGGAGCAGCCGCCCCAGCAGCAGCAGCACCTGGAGCAGCCGCCCCAGCAGCATCAGCCCCAGCAGCAGCAGCCCCTAGAGCAGCCGCCCCAGCAGCAGCAGCACCTGGAGCAGCCGCCCCAGCAGCAGCAGCCCCTGGAGCAGCCGCCCCAGCAGCAGCCGCCCCAGCAGCAGCAGCCCCTGGAGCAGCCGCCCCAGCAGCAGCAGCCCCTGGAGCAGCCGCCCCAGCAGCAGCAGCCCCTGGAGCAGCCGCCCCAGCAGCAGCAGCCCCTGGAGTAGCCGCCTCAGCAGCAGCAGCCCCTGGAGCAGCCGCCCCAGCAGCAGCAGCCCCTGGAGCAGCCGCCCCAGCAGCAGCCGCCCCTGGCCCCTGCAGCAGCCGCTCCTGGACCCGGTACAGCCGTGGGGGGGTGGGTGTGGGGGTGATGGTTGTGGGGGTGTCGGTTGTGCGTGCCATTCCCTCCTCCTCCTCCTCCTTCGTCTCCCACTGCTGCAGCTCTCGCTGAGGGGGGTGGATGTGTGGGAGTCTGGGGTTTAGAGTTTAAGGGGGTGCTGTGGGTGTAGGGCTAGGGTTTGAGCAGGGGGTGTGTGAGAAGGGCGTTAGGCAGCTGGGGAGGTCGAGTGGAGACAGCAGTCTTGTCGTCAGCAGCAGCAGCAGTCCGGAGGCTACAATCTCCGGTAGTCGCCAGTCGCCCGTGGGTCCGTTGCTCGTCTGCCGCTACTTTTAGCCGCGGGGCCAGTTACCCCAGTAGTCCGGAGCGCTGTTCCGGTAGCCACTGAGCCAGCAGCTCGTCTGTGTGTCTGCAGCGTCAGCAGTCGCCTCCCATCTTCTCTCCCCCACAGTCTCTCCTCCTCCTCACTTGCCCTCTGTGATTAGCTCTAGCCTTACTTACCTATTGTGAACTCTTGCTCTATGCTTGCTCATTGTGCTGATTACACCCCACTTTGGCTATGGGGGTGTGTCAGAATGTATTTGCTGTCTAGCCTGCAGTGGGGTACTCTGTAATGAGTACAACCCAATTTAGGGTGTTGTACTTGTATCCCAACTCTTGCTAGTGAAACCTCATTCCTCTCCTTCCAAAACCTCTCGATACTTTTCCTAAACTCCAACTCAACTACCAAGGCTCCTAAACTATGGCTCCTAAGCCAAAATCACGCTAGTATTTTGTTAGATTGTCGGCACACGGGGGCTGTCGCCAGTCAAGAAGTGAGTGCTGGGTTGTGGTGCTGGTGTGCTTGTGTTAAAATACGAGCGAGAGGTGATCTGCAGGGAGGTGATCTCCAGGGAGGTGATCTCCAGGGAGGTGATCTCCAGGGAGGTGATCTCCAGGGAGGTGATCTGCGTGTGTGCAGACGTGCTGATAGTTGGTACACGGGGGCTGTCGCCTGTCAAGAAGTGAGTTGAGGAAGGATGCTATGTTTGACAGCCATGATTTTCAAGAGCATCACAGTCAGTGTGCTGTGTGGGCTCAGCTGTGTGGGCATTTTCGTGTCTGATTTGAGGCTTTGAAGTCATGCATGTGTGTGCTTCTATCGCTTTTTAGAATCCTCAAGAGTGTCTGGTTGAGGCCTTAAAGTGAGCCCATACGATTTTTGAGGCGCCTCAAACATCGCTTTTGAGATTCCTCAGGAGTGTCTGGTTGAGGCCTTAAAGTGAGCCCATACATGTGTGTGATTTTGCCCATTCTCTCTCCCTCTCCCACTCCCTCTCTCCCTCTCTCCCCCACTCCCGTCCCCCCCTCTCTCTCTACTAACTGCAGAACACTGCTTGGGTCAGTCAGCGAGTACTGTGCGCACCACAGGTGGGTTTATTCAGCCACTCCTGTTTCCGCAGCCATTCCCACGAACACTGTGTGAACCTCTTCAAGATTCACCTCCTTCATTTCAAGGGCCCCTGAAATCCCGTTGCTTGGGTCAGTCAGCGAGTACTGTGCGCACCACAGGTGGGTTTATTCAGCCACTCCTGTTGTTCACAGTCACCCTTTCTGTCACTGTCCGAAACGCCTTGACAACTCCCTTTTTCAGGGCGCGAGTGTTTTGAAGTGAAAGTCCTTGGCTTTTTCTAGGGCCTTTGAAAGTCCTTGGCTTTTTCTAGGGCCTTTGAAAGTCCTTGGCTTTTTCTAGGGCCTTTGAAAGTCGTTGCATTTGAACCACCTTGAATATCGGTCAGTGTGCACCGGACACAGCACAGACAGGTGGGTTCATTTCGGCACAGATGCGCACTGGCACAGATGCGCACCGGCACAGATGCGCACCGGCACAGATGCGCACCGGCACAGATGCAGCTGCAGCCACGCTGGTTGTTTCTGTCATGCTTGTGAATGGGTGGGGCAAGTGTTGAATGGGTGGTGCATGCATCCTCCATGTGCATCCCCCATGTGCATCCCCCATGCGCATCCCCCATTTGCATCCCCCATGTGCATGCCCCATGTGCATGCCCCATGTGCATCCCCCATGTGCATGCCCCATGCTCCATACGTCTTTGATCGTTTCTCCCTGTTCCTCTCCATACCCTCTGCCTCCGCTTCTTCCCTTCTGTCCCCTCTGCCCACTCTACTACCCTCTTCCTTCGTGCCAGTGCCTGTCCGGTGATCATAGTCAAGGCAAAGGAGCCCAAGCCCAATGCTCCGCTTAATTGTTGAGCTTCGTTTCTTCCGTGCTACAGCTGGATTGGTGCATAACGTACAATTAACATACAGTACATGTATCTACCCGTTATACACAGCACCAGGTCCTTTATAGCTTCTTTCATTCAATGTGTCTTGCCAAATCATTGTCTTCAATGTGGGCATATATGATGCACAGTACCGTATGAGCTACTGCTAACACTGTTACCACTCCAACACTTTTTCGATTTTGGTTATTCAGAAATAAGTTCTACCGGTATGTTAGCCAGGCTCAATATACATAAAATCAATCACTATCACTACTGGCATTGTCATCCCCAATATTATCTGACTCAGTAGCATAATCAGCATCATACATCCCCTCTTCTGGACACACATCTTCTAAAAAGCTAAGAGCCCGCAACAGCATTTGCTTAGCTGAAAGTCGGAACTTAATAGCCTGAACCTTTTCCTCTGGAAGCTGCAAGACAGGAACCCCACACGTCCCTTCACTTCCCCTCACATCTTCTTCCCTCCTGCTACTACCACCCCTGTTGCCTCCCCTTCCACTGTCTCCCATGTCACATGATGCATCCTCTACAAGCGTCTTCTTTAGCAGATTATAATCCTCTGTGAACATGCTCTTGAATCCGCGTAGTGTGGCGCGCAGAATGTTACGTAACACGTCAGCAGCTCTTATAATGGAGCCTGCAAGCATTGCTGAGCGTGCAGCTGATTCCACTGCCTTACTGTGTGGTCTGTCTTTACCACTACTCTCCCCTGCTCCTGTTGCTTCCTTCCCTCCTTCTACTCCCTCCCCTCCTGCTGCCCCATCTGCTCCTGCTGCTTCTAAGACGGCCAGGTGATAGGTCTGCTGTTGCTTGAGAGTGCCACAGGTGACCCCGTCTCGAAACACAAAGCGCAGAATGGTCCTGGCTAAGGCATGGAAGTCAAAGGCAGGGTCTGAAGGGGTGGCGGGGAAGGGGAGGGGGTGACGTGACAGAGGGGAGTGCTAGAAAGATAAGGTGGTGTATTCGACTTTTGAGGCGCCTCAAAAGAGTGCTAGAAAGATAAGGTGGTGTATGCGCTGCTGCTTGAGCGTGCTGCAGCCTGCACTGCACGTGACATGCCATGCCCAGAGCAGCCATAGCAGCCTGCTGCATGCTAGACGAAGTCACTTTTGAGAATTCTCAAAAGGGGCTCCCACATAGCAGCCTGCATGCTAGAGCCTTCACTCGCCATGTGAAGTCATGCCAATGGCAGCCAGAGCAGCCAGGGACCGTGCCTCCACATACCCCTCCCTGCATATCAGAGTAAGTTACAGCTAACAAGGACAAGTGACTTTTCACTCACCATGGGTTGGCATGCCGATAGCAGCCAGAGCAGCTAGCAGCCGTGCATCCACATACCCCTCCCGGCCTATCGCTAGTGCTTCCGAACCTGCCACCACCCCTGCTGCCATGCCTAGCAGCTGCCGATCCAAGTCGTGCTCGGCTGTGTAGTCCGCCTGCCGAGCCTCCACCACAGCTATGGCGGCGGTTACCGAAGCTGCAGCCGAGTCCCGGTCGAACGTACCAGTCAGCCACGGGTATTTCTCAGTATAGTCTGATTCATTATTAACATCAGTTCCAGCTACAGTACCAGCATCAGAACCCGCTGCTGCTGCCCCTCCTCCTTCTCCCCCTCCTCCTCCCTCCATTTCTTCTTCTCCTTCATCTGAAAATGTGCCTTCTCCTCCCGTTGATCCTCCTGACGTAGCAGCAAGATATTTTGTCTCATAGTAGTCAAGAAGTGCATCAGCGTTTTCGAAAAGGACGAATCGGTCGAACGGGTTGTTGGGCGGCACAAAGCCGTACAGCAGCAGGAACTGGGCGGTGTCCATCGAGCCATAGCCCACACTGATTGGCTGGCCTGGAGAGATGACGTCAGCAGCAAATATGTTGATGTCAGTAGTGGAGGAGTGGATGGTGGGCTGACGTGGCAAATGTTAGGGTTGGTTCGACGAACCACGGAACCTACGGCGAAATGCGGAATGACGGCGGAATGGATCTCGTGGGAGATTCTAGATCTAAAACGGTGGAAATCGGCCTACGGTGAAGAATGGAAGCTACGGCGTGAGAAGCGGGAGAGAAATCAGGAAGAAACTAGAGAAATGGAGAGAGAAGAGTGGAGAAGCATCGAGAATGAGATTGACGGGGAGAAATTGTGGTTCGAGCTGGAGGCGTGTTCGAGAAGGTGCTGGAATCGGACTCGAGGAGTGTTCGGTGCATTCGGTTCGGTTGCGTGTGCGACTCGGGGTGAAACGAGGCGCACGCGGTTACTTGGGAAACAAGTGAAGTTACGAATCGCATTTTGTGTCTTGCTTGACTATAAAACTGCTTGTACTCATTCTTGAAACACAACATTGAAACCAATCAGATTCTGGAAATTGCTGAAGTGTGTATTGACAACTTCAAGCAGAGCTGCGCATATCATTGGATTCGTGAGATCGTGGAGAACACGATAAGCAATAGCAAGTAGACTATTGCCGACTAAGGTGTTTACGATCCTAAGAGCAAAAGGGATAGGGGAGGGGGGGATAGAGAAGGATAGGAAGGTTTACAGTTGAGGGATAGTATCATTCACTGTTGGTAGTAGACAGAAAAGAGAGGGAGTGAAAGGAGGAGGGAGGGAGAGGAAGTGGCGAGAGGGGATATACCAGTCAGCTGGCAGGTGAGGTGAGGTCACACCTGAGTGACTGCCAAGGACCTCTGTCACCCGCAAATCTTGCTCAGTGCTCGAACCTGCCTCCCTGCCTGAACCTGCCTGAACCTGCCTGAACCTGCCTGAACCTGCACATGACTGCCGTCGCTGCCTGCTCAAAAGTAGTCTGAACCTGCCTGAACCTGCCTGAACCTGCCTGAACCTGCCTGAACCTGCACATGACTGCCTGTATACGACTTTTGAGACGTCTCAAAAGTAGTCTGAACCTGCCTGAACCTGCACATGACTGCCTGTACCTGCTTGAACCTGGCCATACCTGCATGTACCCATCCGCACCTGCCAGTCTGCCGTGTGGCAGAACTTGTGATTGAAATGATATAGTAACGGCAGCAGCATGTGCACCTTACCCCTTACCTCACAGCATGCTCACCCACCTGAACCTCCGTACCTGCCTGTACCTACCCCCGTACCTGCCTGTACCTACCCCCGTACCTGCCTGTACCTACCCCCGTACCTGCCTGTACCTACCCCCGTACCTGCCGGTCTGCTGTGTAGTAGAACTCATGATTGAAGAGATCTAGTAATGGCAGCAGCATGTGCACCTCCCGCCTTACCTCACAGCATGCTCACCCATGTGAACCTGCTTGAATCTGCCCTTACCTGTCCCCACCTGCCCGCACCTGCCAGTCTGCCGTGTAGTAGAACTCATGATTGAAGAGATCTAGTAATGGCAGCAGCATGTGCACCTCCTCCCCCTCCCCTCCCTCCCCTTTTTCCCCCTTTCCCTCCCTCACTCCCTCATCATCCCCCCTCTCCGCCTCCTCCTCCACATACTGCCAAAACTCCTCCTCATCCTCCCCCTCCTCCTCCGCCTTCCCTCCTCCCTCCCTCCTTCTCCCCCTCCCCCTCCTCCTCCCTTTTTCCCCCCTGCCCTTCAAACCAACGGCCGAGATCGGCACGGATCTCGACCACACAATCGCAACCGCCCATTTGAACTCATCCATAGAAGCACCCGCTATACTCTCATCCGAGCAGAGAGAAAACGCCTCCTCCACATATCTAATCGCCTCCTCTACTCTCTCTATTGCCTCCCCACTATCCAACTCCCCCAGCGTCGCCTCATCCCAGAAAATCGGCAGCGGCACATACCCCGGCAGAAGATTAATCCACGGGGAATAAAAAGACTCCTTACCCTTCCTCCACTCCCTTAAAAGCCACGCGGCTACAGTCACATCGTCGCCAGCATGCTTGTAAGGGGCGGGCGGGGGAGGGGCGGGGCGGTTGGTGCGGAAATCCCACCCCCCGTGCAGTCGGGAGAGCCAGAGGGGGAAGGGGATGGCGGCGAGGGGGGAGCCAGCGGGGGTGGTGGCGGAAGCTAGGATGCCCAGGGGGAGGCGCGGGGGGAGCGGGGGGAAGGGGGGCGCGCAGGAGTAGAAGGCGGGGGATGAAATGGCTAGGACCATAGGGAGAGGTGTGGGGAAGTGGGGAGGGGGGGAGGGGGAAGGGGGGGAAGCAGGGAGGGGGAGGAGGGGAAACGGGGGAGGTTAGTTGGGGGAAAGGAGGGTGAGAGGGAGATCATGAATAGTAATACAGGAGCAGGAAAGTAATAATGAACATAAAAAGCTACTAAACTTCTAAGGACATCGATTGAGTCTCACCTGGATCTTCGATCGTACACCCTCTTCCACCGATTGGTCCCCGTGCTTCTCCATCCACGTCAGGAACGCGTCCACCAATCGCGCCTCCCTCTCTGGCAGCGGCACCATCGCGGAACCTTCCCTCTCATACGCAAAAATGCTGCCCAGATCGAAATCCGGATCTATTTCCGGTATCGAATCCCAATCGGATCCCGAACCGTGATCTGATTCATTATCATAATCCTCATCATCATCACCATCATCCTCTCTACCAAACTCCCCATCGCCATCTTCAATCTCTTCCTCCTCCCCATGGTCTTCCTCATCTTCATGATCTTCCTCAGTCTCATCCTCATCCTCATTGGCAGAATCATCCCAACCTTCTGTGTAATCTCTGCCCTCATCCACGTCAGCGCCAACCACGTCATCATCCACGTCAGACTCGCCATCATCCGCGTCATCCCAGCCCTCCAAATCAACGTCCTCGTCCAAAGGAGACTCGCTATCGTGCTCTTCAACATCTCCATCCTCCTCGGGTACATGCTCCAGTGGATCGTCTAATAACCCATCATCAATGGCACTCATCACATCACCATCATTATGAGCATTATCATCATAATCCTCATTCTCACCATTATCCTCAGTATCATCACTTCCATCAATACCATGGTTAGAGTTACCCTCAGATATTAAGTGATTAACACCACTACCATCACCATCAACAACTTCTGGACTACTTCCCGCATCGCCTACGTGCTCAAACCCACGTTCCCCGAGACGCGTTTGAGAAACATCTAAGTCGCTTCTCTCGCTGCTCGCGCTGCTCTCGCTGCTGCCTCTGCTGCCGCGCCTGCTTTCGCTATTATCACTTTCGCCTAGCGTGGTCCGAGCTGTCACGAGCAAGAGATGGTGACGGCGAGGAGGAGAGCTCGGATAGACCGACGAATGCCACGTGGCAGTGAGGTCGAAGGTTTGTAAAACGACTCGATTGCGCCACCCGACGATCTCACACGACGGCCGAGCGGCCAGCTCACGCCGTCATCGTCGGCAACTGCGGGTCGTGGCATCGCTGCTTCCGCCGTATGACCAGGCGTGGCGGAGCAGTCTTATGAGGCGAGTTGATTCGCAGTCGTATGACGCGCCGCGCGCTTACATATCCTTTAGGATCTGCTGAGAAGCAGAAACTGCTGCGCGTGTACCGGAGTGAGTGCCTGCGAATGTGTAATTGCTACTCATTACTAAGAGGACCAGCAGCCGCTATATGAGTTCACGTATCAAAAGCTACCGCTACGACTACCTATGCGGTTACCTCCGTGCCGACTAGCTCTGACACGCTGCTGTCACGATCAGCCCAAATGCGCGCGACCGGAAACAAGACAGTATTTCCAGAAATCTTTGGCGAGCTGTGATTGGTGCAAAATCTCCGTCAGATCGCCAAAAAAATTTGGACCATTTCTCGATTTGTGCGTGTCATCCTTGCGCAGGGGCCATGCTAATCTTCTCTGTATCGTTCCAATTTTAACGGATGTCCCGAAGGACGACATAACTGGTCAACTGCACGTTATTTATAAAATTGGCTTTTGTTTCACAATGTAATTTGGGAAAATTTGACATTCGCATCACAACCCGAAACTGTTTTTTTTTTTCCTGGCGCTTCAGGACGAATGCTGAAATTCTCAAACGCCGATTGAAGAATCTTGCGGATTCTTCCTCCTAAGTACGAGGCGCATCCCAAACGCAGAACCAGATGATCGTGCTGCAGGTCGATGACAGGCAGATTCTCGCTTCGACAGTTAGACCCTTTCCTTCGTTATGTCACTCCCGAAAAGAGTGAGCCACGTTAGAAGTTTTTCGTATCAGGCAGAACTCGGCGGGTTGTGCATTGGGCCAATCAGCACGCTGCTGCTCCGATAGAAAACTTTTGCCTCTTCAGGTCTAGGAGTGTCTCGATCGTCGTAGTCGTTAACCCGCGGCTTTTTCTCCTCCTCGCGTTCCGCCATGGCCTTACCAATTCCTGAGAAAAATCGTGCCAGTCTTTCTCGCGTCGCGGTTGCATTCTCGTCCGGCGCGATCGGCGGGCTGTGCATCGGGTTAGCCGTGCCGCTGCTTGCGGCGGCGGGACTCATGGATGTTCTCGGTATCGCGATTCACCCGCAACTAACGCCGCCATTCGTGTACCAGAAAGTCGTGTGGGGCGGCATCTGGTGCGTCGAGTCATTATTCGTCCGCGGTCTCCATGCTTTCATCCATGCTCTCCATGCTCCCCATGCATGCCCTCGTCCATGCCTCCTTCTCTCCGATGCGCTACCACAGAATCGCTCTTCCCTTTTCCCCTCCCTCGCTCACACGAACGCAATGAGTCCTATCGCGCGTGCCCCTCGTACTCTTGCGGTCATTCTGTCTTTCCCGCTCTCCGAAACAACCGCATCTGTTGCATCAATAGAACTCCTTCAAAGACGCACGAAACATACACGCTCTAGGATTCCCCCTCTCTTTCTCTCTCTTTTTTATGTCGGCACCCTTACTTGTGGTGGTTCTCTCCTGGCCGGTAGTTGAGGCGCCTCAAAAGAAATCTCACAGCACTCTGGTCTTCTTGTGAAACCATCAAAAAATATGTCAAGGCAAACCCCCATCTCTTCTGGTGGTTCTGTCCTCCGCCCGCTCACCCGTTGCTTCAGGGGTTTCATCCTGCTCATTCCGTTCAATACAAGCACGCTCGTCAAAGGAGCTCTCTTTGGTACGCCTTGCATGCATGTTCTTCTCGCATTCCTCGCGTGCATGCATCTCCTTGGTACGCCTGGCTTCATCCTGCTCATCCCGTTCAACACAAGCACGCTCGTCAAAGGAGCTCTCTTTGGTATGCCTGATTTTCTAGCTCTCTTTGTCGCCTCTGAGCTTCTTAGAGTGTTCCAGAAAATAATTGAAGTCATTTTCTTTGCCTCTTTTAATCTTGTGCCTTCACCATGCATGCACGCACCTGTCCATCCCGTCCCATTCCTCCCTCTTCACTCACTCCTCCTTGCCTCTCCAACCTCCCCTGTCCCTCCGCCCTCCACCTTGTGTCTACCGCAACTGCAGGGGCGTTGGGTCCAGGCCTGGTGCAGCTCCTGGTTGTATTCCCACTAAAAGAAACGGTAAGTGTTGGATTATGGGCGCTGAGGTGCCTCAAAGACACCTTTTTTTTGTCGAATTGATAGGTAGCTGCAAGGGCGTTGGGGCGTGGGCTGGTGAAGCCCCTGGTGACTTTTGAGTCGACTCAGAAGTCACCTCGTTACCGTGGGCTGGTGCAGCCCCTGGTTGTATTCCTTTTTAAAGAAACCGTAAGTGTTTCATGGCTCTTTAGGTGCCTCAAAAGCTCCGCCTTGTGTTCCCGCTTCAAGAAACTTTAACGAATAGAAGGCGGATAATGAGGAGCTTTTTGTTGTGTTTCCAGTGAAAGAAAAGAAGTGTGTGTTGCTCTGTTTAATGTGCATGCGTGCATTTTCTTGCAAAACACGAACTGAGTACTCTATACTCCATTTTCCATCCCCCACCCTCAAGCAGCCAGGGTTCCTCGCCGGTCTGTCTCTCGGCCCGCTCACGCCTCTCCTCTTTCTCTTCCTCAATGCATTCGTCTGGGGGGTGCCCTCCGCCCTCGCCTACGCCCTGCTTCGACCCCCCTCCCCACAGTCCTTTGTCGGGTAAACTCTCCCGCCCTTGACCCCTTATAAGTGCCTCAAAGCAGTGAGGTGTATTTTGAGGCGCCTCAAAATCGACCCCCCTCCCCACAGTCCTTGGTCGGGTGATCTCTCCCGCCCTTGACTCCTTGGAAGTGCCTCAAAGGTCCACCCCGTCCTGTGCCCTGCCCCCCACAGTGATGGGTGCGAATTGTGAGTCAGTTAAAAAGCCATGGGGGTACTTTTAAGGCCCGCCCTCCTCATGCCCTGCTCTCCGGTCCTTTGTCATCTAGCCACTTTTCCCCCGTGTTCATTCCTCACTCCATCTTTCCCTGCTGCTCTCCATGTGTCCCCCCACCTCTCCCCATCTCCCCCTGCCACTCCCCATGTGCCCCCCTGCCTCTCCCCATGTGCCCACGTGCCTCTCTCCTTTTCCCCCACTCCGCATGTGTCTCTTTGCCTACTTCCTTCCTATCCTGCCACTCTCCCCACGTATCACCCTGCCTCGTATGTCTTACTTTCCGTCCGCTCCCTGTGTTCCCTTCTGTCCCTCCTTCCCCACGTTTCGCCCTGCCCTTCCATTATGGCATCACTAGCATAAGGGCTCTAGGAGAGAGTGACCCAGACCTTGAGCTACAGGGGGAGAAATTTTCATGAGATTACTGTATAAGCAGCTCACGGACAATCAACCATCTGCGCTGATGGAAGCCTGTAGAACAGCATATTAAACACCCCTGTGCTCAAAAGCATTAAATCATATCCACCCTGTACATTCTATATCTACTTATTGAAACTAACGCCTAAAAGAAAATTTAGGTATACTTAGCAAATTAGAATGAGTGTTCAGATTTCCTCAGAAACGTTCTCAACCGATATCGCCAAACAGAAGTGAACAAGTCGCAAGACACACAACCAATATTTTTCTTTCCCATAGGCGAAATCCTCAACTCCTCAGTATCGTTCGGAACCGATGTTACTGAACAGAATGAAATCCCAAGGTCCGCCTTCAATCTTCTCCTCTCCTCAAATTCGACTAGGCTGACTGTCTTGCTCTCCCCCAACTGACCCCATTCCGTGGCTTTCAAGGAACGGGATTGGGGTGTGTGTGGTTTGAAACTCCCAGAATTGTAGACAGATCACCATTATTCTTGTATCAGACGCCTGTTGTAGCTCGTATTTCCTGAGTCCACTCCAAGTAATAATCGTCCAGCCCAGGCGTCGGCCTGAGTAAGAGCGGCCGCGCGTCCGTGACGGAAGCGTTCTTCCTTTGCAGCGATTATTGTTACGTAACCGCCACGTTTCGAATCGCGACATTATGGGTGTTTCTACGATAAAACCGCCACTCACGGCGAGTCCGCCTCACCCGTCCCTGTCATACTATATAGCAAATCCTTGCCCCGTCACTTCTCACCAGAAGCCATCACTCGAACCAGTCTCCGCATTTCAACTCAACCATTTCTCAGTCTCTGCATTTCAACTCAACCATCCCAGCAGCAGCCTCACCTCTCTTCCGCGCCGATCTTCACCGATCAGCACCGATTTCCCGACGCCATTCTGTTCTAGCCACTCGTGATTCTCAGAGGCGAGTCTCATCCATCCATTCGGCGCATCATAAGCCGTCGCCCACGGTCACTCCCCTCTCCTTGATCATCACCAGCCTTGCAAGTCGGCTCAACTCGGCCGATCATGGCGATTATACTCCCGTCGCTGCCGCGGTCTCCCCTTCTCCTCCTCCTGCTCGCGCTGGTGCTGCTCTCGTCGGCGCGCCTCCCCGCGCGCGCAGAGGAGACGTGCTCCGCCTCCGCGCCGTGCGCCAACAACCTCTGCTGCAGCAAGTGGGGCTGGTGTGGCTCCACCGTCGATCACTGCGGCGCTGGCTGCCAGTCTGGGCCCTGCGCGGAAAGCACCTCCGCCTCTCCCCCTTCCCCGCAGAGCAGCTCCCCTGCTCCCGCGCCCAGCTCCCCCCCGTTTCCGCCTCCGTCCGGTTCCCCTCCGCCCGTGACTGATTCCCCTCCTCCCCCATCCCCCTCCCCTTCTCCGCCGTCCGCTTCTCCGCCCGCCCCGTCCGCCTCACCACCCGCCCCAACCGGCTCCGCTCCCCCCCCAACCGGCTCCGCTCCCCCCCCAACCAGCTCCGCTCCCCCCCCAACCGGCTCCCCTCCCCCATCTACTGGGCTGAATCGGATGGCGTATTTCAACAACACGGCGGGCATGGACCCATCCCTCATCCCTGCTACCAACCTCACGCATGTCTTCTACTACTTTGCTTCCATCGACGCAACCACATACAAGGTATGGCACCACACACAAGGCACAGGAGGTGTGAGTGCGTATGCCATGCTCTATCTGGGTCATCTGCTCCAAGTAACCCTTCTTTTTCACATTCGCGGTCGTGGATTTCTGGATGCTTCGCTGTTTTTCAAAAGACGACTTTTGAGGCGTCTCAAAAGTCAACCCTGCAGTGGACGTTACTCCGGGTTTCTACCTTCAACACCGGCAACCCCTGTTCACCCCTGACCCCTTACCTGTTCTCCCTTCCCTCACAGGTCGTCCCTTCCAACCCTGCAGTGGACGTTACCCAGAACCTCTATCTGCGCTTCAACTCCGCTCTAAAGGCCGCCAACCCCGCCATCAAAACCCTTCTCTCCATCGGTGAACCTTCCGATGGCAACACCACTTTCGCCAACGCCGCCTCTTCCACCTCCTCTCGTTCCGCCTTCATCGAATCAGCAATCACCCTCGCTCGCACGTACAATTTTGACGGTCTGGATGTCGCCTGGGGATACCCAGAGGGCAACGCCGCCCTTTTCTCCGCCCTGCTCACAGATTTCCGAGCGGCGATCGAATCCGAAACCGCTTTGTCTGGGAAACCCAAGCTCCTGCTGAGTGCGGTGGTTTCTGATTCGCCGGATATTATCCGGGCATACGACGTCCCAACGCTTAACAAAACACTGGACTTTGTTAATGTTGTGACTTACGATCTGCATGGGCCGTGGGAGGCAAAGACCGGCATGCACACTGCTCTGGAGGATTTGAGCGACCCGCAGCTGAGCCTCAAGGGTGCCATGGCTGCCTGGGTGTCCCGAGGCTTGGACCGAAGCAAGGCCATGCTAGGCTTGGCAATGTACGGCAACACCTGGACTCTTGCTTCGACAAGCAGCACTGGGGTTGGTGCTGCCGCCACTGGGGCTGGTCAGGCTGGGTCTATCAGTCAGGTTGGTTTCCTTCTCCTGTTTCTCCTCTGCATCGTGCTTCCCTCCCTTGCTCACATAATCCAGAACCATTTTGTGTTTCCCTACGTTGATTTCTTCCTTTCCTTGCTCTCGCAATTTCAGGATATTATTCATTCCTGTTTCTAAGATATGCAAGCAATCAGCTCCAAGCAGGCTCTCATCACTTGCTTCCTTGGCCTGCATATTCCCTCTCCACCCCTCCCCTCCAACAGGAACCTGGTATCCTCTTTTACAAGGAAATCGATCAGCTGGTAACCACTGGAGGTTACACAGCTACGCTCGACGCCCCAACATCCTCTATGTATGCAGTGAAGGGTGACCAGTGGGTTGGTTACGACGACCCTTCCACCATCACCACCAAGGTTCAGTTTGCCAAGGCGCAAGGCTATGGAGGGTGGTTCTTCTGGGCACTGGGCCAGGATGCCAACAATGCTCTGCTCAATGCTGCAGCAGCAGCAGCTGCATGAGACGAACCTCACGGTCGGAAAAAGGCAGCATGAGATGCACCTTCAGTCAACAGTAAGAGGAAAGAATAATTTAGTCTACATCTGCTTGATGTGCAGACATTGATAGGAAGGTGGAGACGGACTTGTACATGGCTTTATCTGCATATTCGAGTTGCATCATATGGAGTCGATAAAGCTCGTGTTTCTACTGTCGTGGCATTTTCGAAAATTAGAGGTGACGTTTGCGCGACACGCGCCACTCGTGATTGGTCAGATTTTTCTGACATACACCAGTCTTTCACACCGCTCACTCACTGGCTTACCTCGGCATACGAAATTCCTGGCCTTGGTTCCAGGTTCGGCTGGTGGAATCAAACCAACCAAACCAAAGACAAGGTGGCTGGCTGACTACCTACCAAACCAACCAGCCTCGATATTTCCGAGCCGATCAAACACTTTGAAGCCTTTGTTCCAAACCAACCTACTCAGAACACACTGGGGCCGCACATCCCGCTGATCCTGACCAGCAGTACTTACAGCCACTTGTGCAATTGTGACGGAAAATACATCGTCGGTGATTCACGACAAATTCCGAATTTCCTTGCGTTCAAACGCAGCGCATGCGCGCTTCAGGTAGATGACAGGTTCGTCTCGTTTCGCCGATTTGATCACCTCCTTTCGTTATGCCACTTACGGGAAGCATGAGCCACGTGTGCATTGGGCCAATCACGCCGCTGTTTCGATAGCATGAGCCACTCTAGGCTGAGCGCCTCAAACCTAGGAAGTTAACCCTAACCTCTAACAGCTAGCTATTTCCTACCCGCTGTTATCTCGCTTCTCGCGCTCCACCATGGCTTTACAAATTCCCGATCAAACTCTCGCCGTTCTTTCTCGCGTCACGGTGGCATTTTCGTCCGGCGCGATGGGCGGGCTGTGCATCGGGCTAGCCGTGCCGCTGCTTGCGGCGGCAGGACTCATGGATGTTCTCGGCATCGCGACTCACCCGCAACTAACGCCGCCATTCGTGTATCAGAAAGTCGTGTGGGGTGGCATCTGGTGGGTCGAGTGATCCCCCCCTCCTCTGCTCCTCCCCTCCCGCTCCCCCCCTCACCTTCCCTCGCTTTCACTGTTTCCACCCGTTCGACCGATCATCCCCCCTTCCGCCGCTGGAATGTTGCCCCCCTTGATCTCTCTCTTCCCTCGCCCTTTCTCTCTCTTTTCTCACACGAACGCAGTGAGCTAGATCGCGTCCCTCTTTTTCTGACGCTCTTTCTGTCTTTACCCCTCCCATACGTTGCTCAATAGGGCCATTTCAGAGATGCAAAGAGCATACATGCTCAAAGGTTTCCATTCTCTTTTTCTCGACTTTTCTCACGGCCCCTTCTCATCTGGCGCTCCTGCCCTTGGCCTGCTCACCCGTCGCTTCAGGGGTTTCATCCTGCTCATTCCCTTCAATACAAGCATGCTCGGTAAAGCAGCTCTCCGTTGTATGCCTTGCTTTGCTTGCCGTCTTTGCATTCCTCGACCGTTTTCAAACACGTGCGTGTCATGCTGTATGCATGCATCTACCTGTCCCTCCCTCTCCCTGCATGCATGCACCTCTCCCTCCCTCCCCATGGATGCATGGAAAGTCGTGTGGGGTGGCATCTGGTGCGTCCTCCTCCTCTCTGCCTCTACTCTGCTCCTTCTCTCCTCCTCTCCCCACGAGCTAGCACAATGCACTCTTTACCTCCCCTCGCTTTCCCCACGCATCCTTTCCCTCCAATCTTTCTCGCTTTCTCTTTTCCATCCGTTCGAACGTCATCATCTAAAAAATGTTCGGCTTGGCTACTATGTATACCCCTCCAGAAGCTCCGCTTTGCCTCCGCCGTCGCCGGGCTGTCCTGTCCCCGCCCCGTGCCCTCTCTCTTCTCTCCCGCCCCGTGCTCTCTCTCTCTCTCTTCTCTCCCGCCCCGTGCGCTCTCTCTCTTCTCTCCCGCCCCGTGTGCTCTCTCTCTTCTCTCCCGCCCCGTGCTCTCTCTCTCTTCTCTCCCGCTTTCTCCCTCGCTGCTCCTCTCCCTTGCCTTGACCCTTTCCTCACACGAAGCAGTGAGCCCCATCGCGCCCTTCCTTCTGTCGCTCTGTCGTTACACCTGTCATCCACTTGCTTCAGAGGCCTATTCCAGAGACGCACGAAACATACGCACTCATAGATTTCCATTCTCCTTCCCCCTTTTTTTATGGCGCTCCTGCCTTGAGCCCGCTCACTTGTTGCTTCAGGGGTTTCATCCTTCTCATTCCCTTCAATACAAGCACACTCACTAAAGGAGCTCTCTTTGGTACGCCTTGCATGCATGTTCTTCTCGCACTCCTTTGTCCCTGTCGAGGACCAGAGCAGAAATCTACTGCTGTTTTTTCCTTTGCTTTAAGCCTACTGCACGCACGCAGCTCACTGAGCTATGTCTGGATCTCGCACTCCTTTGTCCCTGTCGAGGATGAGAGAGAAGTTGAAAGTTGTCCGCATTGACACCTCTGCCTCCTCCGACCATGTGCCCTCATGCATGCATGCTCCTGTTTCTTCCAAAGTTTTTGTCCCTCCCCCCTCCTCCCATTTTCCTTATTCCTCCTTGTGTCTCCTCATTCCTCCTGTCCCCTCAATCTTCTCTTATTCCTCCTTGTACCTCCCACCTTCCTTGTCCCTCCGCCTCGTGTCCACCGCAACTGCAGGAGCGTTGGGTCCAGGCCTGGTGCAGCTCCTAGTTGTGTTCCCACTCAAGGAAACGGTAAGTTATGGGCGTTTAGGTGCCTCAAAAGCGCTTGCAAAAGGCAGTTGCAAGGGCGTTGGGCGTGGGCCCAGGCCGGGTGCAGCTCCTAGTTGTGCTCCCGCCCAAAGAAACGATAGATTGTTCATTTATGACTTTTGAGGCGCCTCAAAAGCTCCTCCTCGCGTGTTCTCGCTCGAAGGCAATGGTGACAAATAAGCTTTTCGAGTCAAACCAGAAGATGGCTCTTTGAGTCAAACCTGCAGGGGTGTTGGGGCTCAGGGGTGTTGGGGCTCAGGCTTGCTGCAACTCCTAGTTGTTTTCCCGCTTAACTCCTAGTGATTTTTGCTGAAAGCAACAGTAACAGGGAGAAAATGCATTTGAAGATTCCATGACAACACTGTGACTTACGTGCAAGCGGTGTGCTAGTGTGTGCTTCTCTGTAATACGTGCAGGCATGTTATAGAAAGTAATAACGCTCAGCTTGGTTCACTTTCAGTCGACTCAATTCTAAGATTCCTCGATACCCCTTTTTCCATTCCCCACCCGTGCAAGCAGCCTGGCTCCCTCGCCGGTCTGTCTCTCGGACCGCTCATGCCTCTGCTCGTTCTCCTCCTCAATGCATTCGTCTGGGGCGTGCCCTCCGCCCTCGCCTACTCCCCTAATCCATATTCCGTCTCTCCTCTCCTTCCGACTTTCCACTCCCCACCCACTCGCAGCCAGGGTTCCTCGCCGGTCTCTCTCTCGGCCTGCTCACGCCTCTCCTCATTCTCCTCCTCAATGCATTCGTCTGGGGCGTGCCCTCCGCCCTCGCCTACGCCCTGCTTGACCCCCCTCCCCACATTCCTTTGTCGGGTAAACTCTCCTGCTCTTGACTCCTTGGTGTATTTTGAGGCGCTTCAAAATCGACCCGCTTCTTTAACTCCACTTATTGGAATGAACGTCTTTTAAGAAAACTAGGTTACATTGCAAAGTAGAATGACTGTTCCTATTTCCTCATAAACGTTCTCAACCGATATCACCCAAGGCCCCTAGATTCGTTTTGAGGTAGTCTGAGGCCTCAGAGTACACCCCTCCTGGAACTCTGTCTGTCAGAGGTGCCTCAAAATTTTAGTCTGAAAATTCAGACAAGCACAATTTTTTTTGTCTGAACTGTCAGAGTTACTTCAAATTTTATGATGTTCATGCAGTTTCGTAAAAGCCGTTATAATAGCATTGAAGCTGATTACAGCCTACCATACCAACGCATCAGGCAACGTGCTCGTGCTCGTGCATCGCCTCTGCTCATGTCGGCGGCGTTCCGGTGTTTTTGTCACGTGCAGCGCATGGTTGTTTCTGCTCTGCTGATCTCATTTCGTTTTGTCATGTGTGTGATCACCGTTCTGTACCCATTTTCTCGCATGTGTGCCGATTTTGTCAGTTTTGGATTTGCTTTTCAAGGGATTCGATCGTTCACCCGATCTGTATCAGGTGGGCCAAGTGCCACGCAGCTGAGCTGGCAGCAGGCAAAAACTGTTGCTTGGCGTGGCATGTGAGGATCAGACAGTGCCACACGAAACTTTCACTATGGATCAGGAACTTCGCAATTCACACCAGTGCGTGCTGCAGATGTTTTTACAGCGAATCAGCATCAAAGTCGCCTATTCTTTACAATACATTAGCGATAACTTACATGTGACGAGATTTTGTCCTCAGAAATCTCGTAATCACGCAACCATTTCCTCAGCGTAACTGGAAGATATTCTCGACGAACGAGTGTATTTGGATGTCCCAACTGTCGAAGTGAGCGTTGCTCACGTCCTGGCACTCCACTGCCATCTCGGAAGTGGGCATATCGGAAGGAAACTTCCAGGAAACTTTGCTCCGATAAGCGCGCAGAGTGTACCCCCGATACAAGTCTGAGGCTCAGCCTACCCTAGTAAAATTAGGCTGAAATTTCAGACAACTCATAAGAAAAAACTCTGGAAAATCAGACAAGGTACATAAATAAATTCTTTGAGTTCAGACTAGGTACAAAAAAAAAGTCTGAACGGACTCTGATTCAGACTCCAAAGTCTGATATCTAGGGCACTGCACCCAACAGAAGTGAACGAGTCGCAAGACACAACCAATAATTTTCTTTCGCATAGGAGAAATCCTCAACGCCTCGGTATCGTTCTGAACCGAGTTTACTGAACAGAAATGAAATCCCAATCCCAAGGTCCGCCTTCAATCTTCTCCTCTCCTCAAATTCGACTAGGCCGACTGTCTTCCTCTCCCCCAACTGACCCCATTCCGTGG